GGTAGGATGTTTGAGAATTTGAATTTAGGAATTAGGGGGAGAAGAGGAGGAATGAAAGTGTGAAGGATTCGATTAAATTTTAATTTTTAAGGGGGTTTTTTTTTTAATGTATATATTTTTCTTTTCTTTTGCTCCTTTTTAAATAATGGAAACGAAGCGAGTTCCGAGGCACGGCGGTCAGTGCGGGGCACCATTTGCCCCTCTCCAATTGACATTCCTAATTACATCATCCATATATCCACACATCGTTCAAATTCATCAGAAAAGCACACACACGTCCCTCAAATATTATTGGCCAAGGAGATATGTATGAGTAAGTTTACAGATATACACAGATAGATATAATGAAACACACGACAAGTCACAAACTATTCTTGATACTTCAAATTTAACAACCATGGCAACTGATCAATTGTTGAGGATTTGACTAGCAGTAGGCTTCTTTCCAAAAGCATACAAGAGAACTGCATATATACGAAGAAAAAGGTTTATCTAAGTGACTGAATCGTTTAAAAAAGGAAGAAAAAGGTTTATCTAACTATAAATAATAGAAAATAAAACATATATGTGAAGGCGTACCTAGTCCTCATCAGATTCGGAACCAATAAGACAGCGTGGAACATGAGCAATCTTTGGCCAATCCTCACCAATGTCACGTTTGCATCTCTCCTCCAATGCATCGCAACCATTAATTTCCAAACGTGTTAGGGATGTGAGCCGCTCCATCCCCTCAGGCAGAGAAGACAAATTCGGACAATCAAACATAGTAAGCGTCTCAAGTGTTGTGAGGTTTGGCAGCCACTTTGGCAATGTGGCTAATTTGCAACAATAAAAAACAAGCAAATGTTGCAGAGTGTCAGCAGCGCGTTGTAGCCACTGGGGTAAAGCTGTCGTCTGTGGCAATTCATTAATCATCAATGTTTGAAGACTCAACTGGTTGTTGATTACTTCATCGGGTCCGCTCGCCAACTCAAGTTGTTCACATTCATTTACAACCAGAGTACGTAATGGGGTAAAGCTGTCGTCTGTGGATGCTATCCTGATTCATTTGGGTTCTGGTGCAAGTTTTTTCCATTTACCTGTCTCATTCATCTGGGTTTGGATTATTTTTTTATTTTTTTGTTCTGCCTTTTTTGGTCGTTTTTATTTGTGGTTTTGGTTTGTTTTCTTCTTGTGATTTTGGTTGACGCTGTCTTGATTCATTTGGGTTTTGGTGCAGGTTTTTTCGATTCATCTAGGTTTTGGCAGAGGCTTCTTTAATTTTCCTGGTTTGCCGTTATGTTGGTTTAGCTGGTGATTTTAGTTTGAAGTTTGAGTTTTTGTGTGGTTTTGGAGGAGTGCATATTCTATGTTCTTTTCCTTTGGTGATTTTAATGCTATTTTCGTTGTTTTTGGTAGTTTGCTTTTGTGGCTGGTCTGTTTAAGTTTTTCAATATTTATAGAAATCTGTTACAATTTCCCTGTGGTTGATATGTAGAATTTTTGCAAAATTTTTATATAATGCTTTATTTTTCTTCTTGATTGATTCTTTTGTTTAGAAAGAAGTTTCTGTGTAGATGGTTGCATGCTTTTTTTAGTTCATCTTGATTTTTTTTTTCCATTTATTGGTTTCATGATTCGTGTTGTCCACAACGCTGATCTATCTTGCTATCTTCATCAATTGTACTCATTTTATTGTAGATGCGTTAAATGAACTCGTGATTTTTCTAAATTGTCTGAGGCATGTGAAAAATCTGGGAAAAAAAGATATTGTCACTCTTTTTCTTCTTATTTCTTTCCGTTTTTCTTCCTCTAATTTGATTATTATATTCATGTTCTATTTTTTTCCCTTTTCTTATTGTAAATTAAGCCTTGCTTTTATTACTTAAAATTAGGAAATTTTTGTTCTGTTATTTGTATCCACCGACTTTGTGCTTTTATGTCCTACTACGTTGATTAATTGTACTCATTATGCTGCAAATGTATTAAATGAATTCATGATTTTGGTAAATTGTCTGAGGCAGGTGAAAAATCTGAAAAAAAGATATTGTGATTCTTTTTCTTCTTATTTCTTTCCTTTTTTCTTCCTATTTGATTATTATATTCATGTTTTATTTTCTTTTTTTTTTCCTTTTTCTTATTGTAAATTAAGCCTTGCTTTTATTACTTAATATTAGGAAATTTTTGTTCTACTATTTGTATCCACCGATCTTATACTCTTATGTCTTGCTACGTTGATTAATTATACTCATTATGCTGTAGTTGTATTAAATGAATTCATGATTTTAGTAAATTGTCTGAGGCAGGTGAAAAATCTGGGAAAAAAGATATTGTGACTCTTTTTCTTCTTATTTCTTTCCGTTTTTCTTCCTCTGATCTGATTATTATATTCATCTTCTATTTTTTTTTTCCTTTTTCTTATTGTAACTTAAGCTTTGCTTTTATTACTTAAAATTAGAAAATTTTTGTTCTTTTATTTGTATCCACCGATTTTGTACTCTTATGTCTTGCCACATTGATTAATTGTACTCATTATGTTGCAGATGTATTAAATGAATTTATGATTTTAGTAACATGTGAAAAATCTGGGAAAAAGGCATATTGTGACTTTTTTCTTCTTATTTCTTTATGTTTTTCTTTTTCTGATCTGTTTACTAGTGTTCTCTAGAACTCACTCTTTCATTTTTCCTTCTTCCTCTCTATGAGAACTAAACATAAATAAATTATATATACCATTGGCGTTGTAGGAAAGAAGATGGAATGTATCGCAGCTGAGTATTAAAAAAAAAACACGCTTTGTTGGAATAATTTAATGGTGTGTTTGAGATTGCTTTTACAACTCTAAAAAAACTTTGCACAAAAATTTATGGAACTATATTGTTAGTTAAAAGGTAGCACTTTGCACAAAAATTAAGGGTGCATTTGATATTAATTCTAAAATGATTCTGTTTTTTTATATGAAATTGAAAATAAAAATGTTTTTAATTTTAGACAGAAATTGTTTTTCAAAATGTGTTTGGTAATTTTATTGAGATTGTTTTCGGTATAAAAAAATTGTAATTACGTTTAGTTATACATTTTTAAAAACATCTAATCACCCACAGATTTAACCGAACCTAATTTAACCACCCCAACATCAGTGGGGACCAAAACAATAGTCTAAATTTCGACGTATTTCACAAGAAATGACCTCATCAGACCCACTGAACAGATTGTGGAGCTTTTGAAGAAAATCGCGAAATTTACAGATTCAAAATTGGAGAGATCATACTTTGGAAATTGTAGAATTATCTAGTGCAGTTAAATTGAAAATTAGAATTAGGTGTTATTAATATATATATATATATTCCTTTATAGCAATCATCTTCAGTCTTCACCATTCCGGAATTAATGAAGCGGAACGTCAGCTTGAAGAAATGGATGAGCGAGTGGTATTTTGAACAGAAATTGTAAATTCCATAACCCAAGACCCGTGAAATTTGCCAGAAAATCGCATAGTTCCAGCTGAAATTGGAGGCGTTTGGGCGGTCCACTAGATCTCAGAGCTTGTTCTGTAGATTCTCATCGCTTCCGACCGCCATTAATATGCTCTCGTTAATCACTGAGCTCGATATCGAAGGCTCAAGTCCCCAGAACCGGCGCTGACGTCATGGCTTTATCTTCGTTGTTCTAAACTCCACTTCCTCCCAAACCTACCTCAATCATCATCTTCTTCCCAATAAATTAAGCACAACAATTAAAAAATGAAAAAAAGAGAGAGGTTCACGATTTTTCTTATTAAACAAACGGATCAGTAGTACCAATAAGTAACTTCCGTACTTTAATGGAGGCGAGGATGAAGAAGTACTGGGCAAATATTCTTCTTTGCTTCATGCAAAATCATCCAAGTTCGCATTTATTTATAACTTCTATAAAAAACACACAAAAAATATTAAACTAACAAAAATACTTGAAAACTTACAAATATTCAAGCTTAAAAGTACTTAATTTGTTAGTAGAAATACCCGTCATCAGTCGGATTATTGAACACCATTTTCCTAGAACTTGTATTTTCTCTACTAGGAATAGTGAAAAACTCAGTGAACATAGCTCTACATTAGAGTGAACTACTATAAACCCTTTGTGTTGATTTTGCTTCTTTTCTTATTATTCGCGTTAAGTTTATTTAATCTGAGCATATATCACAGAAAATCTGTTATTAATCTGTTGACTAGTTTTTACCGTCAACAAAATATATTCCAACCTCAAGGTAACTTATTTTTTTTTTCTTTTTTAGCCCTCTTTTTTTTCAGATGATGCTTATGTTGCACAAAATACTATATTTGATTTTTTGTCTTTTATTTTTTCTTTTGACTTATTTGGTAAAGTTTAAAAGGTGTTTTATGTTTAAAAAAACAAATGCAACACACTTAGGTTGTCTTTTTTTTTTTTTTAAGTGTGTATGACTATTTGGTATTATCTAATACGGTATCAGTTTACTAATTCGATAATACACATGCTATGCTACTACTAGAACGGTTGTTTTCTATAATTATTTCTGAAAATGACCAATAAATATTTGTAAAGAATAAACTGTCATAATAAAAATAGTATGTATTACACATTGCAACGATTTTTTTTTTTAAAATCGAAGAAATGAATTCAAACGTTAAAAAAATGTCTAGAAAAACTTGCTAGAAGAAAATGACAAAGAACTAAAGAAAGAAGAAAAGAAAGAGAACTGAAATAGGAGTATTAATTACATAAAAAACTAGGAGTATTAATTAGTTAGTCTCTCCCTCTCTTTTAAATTCCTAATGATGAACGCCACACCCTCTTCTTACAAACAATCTGCATAAGCAGTATCAATAGTTGCAGTTAACATTATAAAACCAATTCTTATTAACAACTCCTAAGCTCTATAAAAAAAAATATATATATATATATGGTCTTCACATGTTCATAAGCGATACATTCATAAATCCACACTTCGTTCAAATTCATCAGAAAAGCACACACAAAAGTTATACTTAAAGACATGATAAATCCGAATCAGCAAAACGAACGAGCCCTTAAATTATCGGTCAAGGAGACATTTTATAGATATACACACAAATAGATATACTTAAAGACATGATAAATCACAATCAAAGTATCAAACTATTGATGATTTCAGTAGCTGATCAAACTATAGATATACTTTAAATTTAGCACCAACTTTGGCAACTGATCAATCGGCCGTTGAGGATTTCAGTAGCTGTAGGCTTCTTTCCCAAAGCGTACGAGAGAACTGCATATATATGGACAAAGTTATTTCACATGAAATGAAATGAAGAGGTAATCAATCTAATTTGTGTTTATTTTTTAACCTTTTGGACTAATTACATGATACTGTTATTAAAAAAATTCGAACAAAGAATACCACGTGCTCACTTTTTGGAAGAGAGAGAGTAGAGAGGATATCAATTTCAAATTAGCATTTTTTTTCAAATTTAGTACCCTGGTATCCGTGAAATCTCACTATAATATCCTATTATTTAAAAAAAAAAAAAATCATCTTGAACCCCTTTTTTGAGACATGAATTATCATTTACGCTCATAAAACAGAAAATAACATAATTTTAAAAACTCAGAACAGGTTTATCTGATTAGAAACAATAGAAAATAAAACGTACCTAGTCCTCATCAGATTCGGAACCAATAAGACAGCGTGGAACATGAGCAATCTTTGGCCAATCCTCACCAATGTCACGTTTGCATCTCGCCTCCAATGCATCGCAACCATTAATTTCCAAACGTGTTAGGGATGTGAGCCGCTCCATCCCCTCAGGCAGAGAAGACAAATTCGGACAAGCAAACATAGTAAGCGTCTCAAGTGTTGTGAGGTTTGGCAGCCACTTTGGCAATGTGGCTAATTTGCAACAATAAAAAACAAGCAAATGTTGCAGAGTGTCAGCAGCGCGTTGTAGCCACTGGGGTAAAGCTGTCGTCTGTGGCAATTCATTAATCATCAATGTTTGAAGACTCAACTGGTTGTTGATTACTTCATCGGGTCCGCTCGCCAACTCAAGTTGTTCACATTCATTTACAACCAGAGTACGTAATGTGGTACAACATCTCAAATCTTGCGGCAAAGATCTCAAATTTCTACATTCAGTAATACACAAATCTCGAAGAGATCTCAAGCATCCAATTCCATTCTCAGAAAGACAGGTCTCTTTTGTGGTTATAGAGAGATTTCTGAGACTGACCAAGTTTCTAATATCCCTTGGTAACTCCTCAAGCTCTGAACACCCATGGAGGTACAGAGTTTGCAAACTTTGCAGCTTGCAAATTGAATTGGGCAGTTTTTTGATCTTTTTGTTTCCAGTTAAGTCCAGACATCTCAAATGCTTGAGAGCACCAATTGAACTTGGCAGCACGTCAAAACATAAACCATCTAAATCCAACAGTCGCAAGTATTTGAATCTTGAGATGCATGTGGAAAGGAAGGACTCCTGAATATTAGGCTCTTCACCCTTTTCTTTAGCAACAAAAATACTCCGCACTTTTTGTAATTTCTGCACGATTGTTACGATGCTTTGACCATGGCCATCCTTCAACAATATCCTCAAATGCCGCACTCTCTCATTTGGGGCAGTTTTAGTGTTGGAATCTATTTTGGCAAACTCATGTCGGATGATTGAAGTTGCAAGATCATGAACTAAATCGTGCATTTCAAACTGCTGAAATAAATTGTAATATTCCTCGGCATCGTCAAGATATTGAAAGAAAGATCTGCCGCAAAGCTCTTTGAAATGCAATTTCCCAATACTTTCCAATTCCATTTTGTCACTACGTGAGTGAATGATGCCCAATGCCATCCATATCCTGGTCATGTCCAAGTCAGTCGTTCGATTGTTCTTTGGAATAAGAGAACAATAAGCAAAGCATTGCTTTAAGGACGGAGACATTGTACTGTAGCTTAATTTCAGTGCAGCTAAAATAGGATCATTTTGCTCTCGTCTCAACTCCCATATCTCGCTATCCCTCACATAAATCCATTCACCTTCATCAGTTTTTGAGCAAAGCACGCTCCCCAAAGTCTTCAATGCCAAAGGAAGCCCTCCACACTTTTGTACAATTTGCTTGCCAATATCTTTTAGTTTTGGAAATCGTGCAGCCTCTTGTTCATCTACAAATGCATATTTGAAAAATAAAGACACAGAATCCTCCTCAGAGAGACATTCCAAATGATGTGTCCGAGTTGTGCCCATGATTGATGCTACTTGAGTATTGCGTGTTGTAACTATGACTCTGCTCCTCATAGTGCAAACTGCCGACAGCAAATCTCTCACCTCGTTCCATTTACCGCGATCTTCATTCCATACGTCATCCAGTACAAGCAAAACCTTTTTGTCCTTTAAAATGCTTTGCAAGAACAATTGCAACTGATCTATAGACAAATTACTAATATCCCTTGTTTGCTTCAATGATTGATGTACGGTATTAGTTGCACTGATAGAAGATATAAGAATTTTTCTTGTCAGTTCAGTGACAGAAACATCTTGTTGCACACACACCCATAGTTTTAAATCAAACTTCTCAATAACTTTGTCATCATTGTACACTAACTTGGCAAGCGCAGTCTTTCCTAGACCCCCAACTCCTATTATCGGTATAACAGAGATACTATCATTGTTGTCTTTTTGCATCAATAACTTCACGATCTTATCTTTGTCACTTTCTCTACCAATAACTTCCGAAGGCCTTACAAAGGAAGATTCCATCTCCCTCCGCACTTGCCTTGCATCCTGATGATGTTCTTTTAGATGGAAATTACTCTTATCTTTGGCAACATCATCTAACTTTTGCCTTATCGCCTTAATTTGATTACCAATGCTCAAGCAGAACGCAAGTGGATTGGAGCGCGAGAAGAAACGACGTACCTTTCTATCAATGCGTCCATGTCTCTTCACCACTTCTCTTCTGAGCAGTTCACACTCATATTCATCCAGCACGTCCCAAGCATCAAGGAAGACATCCTTAAGCCGCCTCAACCAGACTTCTATGTCCTTGTTTTCTTGCTGCTGCTCCTCGGCATCTAAGAGCACAGCTTCGAGAGTGGACATGGTCTCCTCAAGCTTCTTTAGGTCGTCTTTCATGCCCCATGCCAAGCTAATCTTTTGGTCGGCAAAACCACCTACCCTCTTCAACACTTCCACAGCTATGCCATAAACGACCTCCATGGTTATCTTTGAGAAATTGTCTGAAGCATTACGAGAAATGGGAATGATATGAGAATAGGATACACACTTTTCAGCCACTATCAATAAGGCAACAATACACATACATTAAGTTTTCATACTTTTAAGGGACTCGAAATTCAGTAAATAGTACCATAAAAAAAAAAAAAAAGAAATTCAGTAAATAGTAACAGAACTCATGCTTATAAATTTTAAAATTTTTATTTCCAATAACTTTATATAAGCGACACGCACGTGTTCGCAAACGCCCTTAACTAGTATGCTAATAAAAACCAAAACTTGGAGAGTTAAGAAAAATGCACGGTCTTTTTAGGAATAATAAACTCATGCGCTTATATATGAATCATATGATTTTAATGATTATTTTAATATTTATTTATCGATAAATATCATTATTTTAACTGTAAAATATAAATATGATAATTGTAATAAATTGAGTAGTTTAGCAAAAAAAATTATAACAATTATTTAAATTAAATTCTTATCACGACACATTATCAAATTATAAAAACGTAATTATTTAAAATTTATCTACATATATTAAAATAGATAGATGAATTTTTAGACTATGGGATATGTGTTTGGGAGAATTATTATTGTGTTTTAGGAAAATTAGAGAGTTAGTGCTTTTTTGGGGAAAAATGGAGTTTGTGGGAGGAAAGGAACAAAAAACTTCCTTTTTCTGAAGCATTGGAGTGTGAAAGTATGATTTTAACCGCTTGAGAATTAACTAAAAAAATAAGTAAGAATCATCTCACCTTATTTGTTTGATTATACAGGGTTTTTCTTTTTTTTTTTTTCTTTTTTTTTTTTGGCTGAACAAGGGTTAAAACAGCAAGAAGCTCTAGTTTTGGACTCAAATCATCTATCTAATTTTTGACGTCTCAATTAGATATGTGATTTATTATGAAGGATGCTTGACACCCTTCATACAGGAATGCTTCATTACCGAAACTCAAAAAAGAAAATCAAAAAGAAGAAAGGAAGGCAGACTGCAATCGGAATATTTTCAAAGAGTGTTAACTCGTGTACAGAAAACAACAAAAACAAAAATCTTGAAGGATGACGAAATCACTCATGTTTTTGTGGAGGATGATCTTTATAAACGTTGGAATCCATTCCTTCGTTTTCACGAAAAAAAATAGGGCAAAAAAGCTTTTAGAATGGATTAATTCTTTTTTAAAGTGGGGTGTATAATGAGCATTTTTTTAAAAATACTTTAGTCTTTCTAAGTAGTTTTATTGCTGGGTAATTAGTAACAAAAAATTTTATTAAAAAAGAATGTGGGGCCAATACCATGAAACTGGAACTTGTAAAGCAAAAAAAAAAAAAAAAAAAAAAAAAAAAAAAAAAAAAACTCAATAAAGAAAAAAAAAATTCCGAATTGTGTGGTAACAAGTCAAACTAACAAGATCTGATCAAACAAATAAAATTCTGAATTTTTTAAAGATTAAGCAAAATTTCAACTAAAATCCCAGCTGGTTATCTCTAGAATTTCATTTTCATGAATACGAGAGAATAAAAAAATAAAAAAATAAAAAAAAAATAAAATAAAAATAAAAAAACATTTGAAGGACGGCAATCTTCAAAGAGTGTTAATTCGTGTACAGAAAACAACAAGAATTGAATTAAAAAAACAAAAAAACAAAAGTCTTGCAGGAAGACGAAATCACTCATGTTTTTGTGGGGGATGATCTTTCTAAATGCTGGAATCTATTCCTTCTTTTTTGCGAAAAAAAGTAGTTTAGAATGCTGGGCACAAAAGCTTTTAGAATGGATTGATTTTTTTTTTAAAGTGGGGTGTATAATGAGCATATTTTTAAAATACGGACGTGTTTCGAATTAATTCTATTTTTGTTTTTCATATCTTTTGAGAAAGAAAAAAATAAAAACACTTTTAAAATAACGTTTGGCACACTAAAGACAAAAACACAGAAATGAAAACGAATATTTAGTTTAGTGTAAAATAAGAGAGAAATGAAAAATGACTTTTAGTGGACGTTTGGTTCACGGATTCAGAATATAATTCAAAACCATTCTTGGTTTACGTGTGTTTTTTGTGAGAGAAAATACTGTAGCGAGCCACGAACTATGATTCGAATCATGGCACGAATCTTTCTTTTTTATTTATTATTTATTATTTTTATTTTCTCTTCTCTCGAGCAGAAAGAGAAAGAGAGAGACATTTATGGCTGTGTTTGGAATTGATTCCCTTTTTACTTTTTACGTTTTTTGAGAAAGAAAAAATGTTTGGCGCAATAAAAATAAAAAACAGAAATGAAAATAATTTTTTAGTTTAGTGTAAAATAAGAGAAATGAAAAATGACTTTTAGTCGTTTTTTATTTTTTATTTTCATTTTCGCCTCTCTCAAGCAAAGAGAGAGACATTAATGAATTTTTTTTATTGAAAACAATCTCTTGATAAAACTACAAAACGTATTTTTAAAAATAATTTCTATCTGATATTGAAAACGTTTTCATTTTAAATTATATACAAAAAATAAAAAATTATTTTGAAATGAATTCTAAACACGCCCGTATTTGTAAGTAATTTTATTACTGGATAATTTAGTAATAAAAAATTTTACTAAAAAAGAGTGTGTGGGCTCAATAAAGAAAAAAAAAATTCCGAATTGTGTGGTAACAAGTCAAACTAACAAGATCTGATCAAACAAATAAAATTCTGAATTTTTTAAAGATTAAGTAAAATTTCAACTGAAATCCCATCTGGTTATCTCTAGAATTTCATTTTCATGAAAACGAGAGAAAAAAAAACAAGGCAAAAAATAAAAATAAAAATAAAAATAATAAAAGAAATGCAAAGGTCTTCAAAAGGTTTGGACTTACTAATGGAGATCGTACTCGGAGGCACCTTTGGGGACAGAGAGAAAGGAAAGTCTTCAAATTAGGCTCAGATCTTCCTTGATCTATCAATAGAACTCTGTCTGTAATGCAAAGAAATAGCAACAAAATGAAAGATTTTATTCTATTAGAACTTCAGAATAACATCATAGCCATGAGCTCATATAACAAACAAACAACGTTTATATAAACTAGAAATCAACAAATCATGGGTCAAACAGATAGAACCCACTCTCTCTCTCTCTCTCTCCTTCTCTCTCTCTCTCTAGAACGCTCTCTCTAAGTATTCCTTTCCTCTATCCAGCAAAAAATAAATAAATAAATAAATGCTTTCCTCTCTCTTTTAAGACTGCTGCAACTAAAGGAATGGGTGGAAATTATTTCTAATCTAATCTGTCTATGTAATATTGTAAATTGAAAAAATACTTAAAAGTACGTAATAGATGGTTTCCAGTCAAAATCTCTTTTAAGACTTGCTAGTACAATACACAATTCTTGGGGTCCCACATTTTTCGGACCACATGTGTGTGTGTGTTTCTAAGCAATCATGCACGACAATTTGAGACAGTCACGGATTCATATTATAGAAAGGGGTGGTCAGAAATCTTCACGGGTTGGGAAAACAAAGTAGGTAGCTTACAAAATGTTGTTCTCTTGGATCTTAGACTCTGTTCACTTTACTAATTCGAGTTTAAAATATGAGTTTTTTTACAGTAAAAAGCTCTCACAAACAATCACATCTAACTTTTTTACTACAGTAAAAAATTCTCACATAAAATCACATCTTAACTCGAATCAGCAAAGTAAACAAGGCTTAAGTCTTTATACTCTTGAATTTGATGATATATATATATGTGTGTGTGTGTATTCATACTCTTTACAGAATCATGTACACATAAAAGCACAATAATATCTATTTACCAATAAATTATTTATTTATTTATTTAAAACTTTGAGTGAGATGCTTGATGTGAGATAGGTTTGCAGTGTCAACCTAATTGAGATAATCAAAAGCCAAAGATCCTATAAATATAAGTATTATACATATATATACACACACATATGTGTAGCTAGTGTAATTAATTCAGATCCAGATGAATTGATTAATAGAAACATCAAGTGGTTGCTAAATTCCAAAGCCTTTCTATTCATGAATAGGGAATAATTCGGGCTTCGTCTCCTGCTTTGGATGCTTCTTATAAAGACCTTTCTTATACAAATTTTATACAAATTTGATAGCCGAAAATAATGACTTTTTTAGTGGTTTATTTTTCATGACCTACCCGAAAAACTATATTTATTTGGGTTAATTTGATATTTGGTCTCAGTCTATTCTTTGACCTTATGGGGATTGAAAGTACTCTATCTCAATATTGAGCGAGATACACATGTTTTGTTCATTTCATAACTTAAGTTATGTTCCAACAGTATTTTCTCTCATAAAAATTTAAATTTAATTTTTTTACTATAATGTTTTTCTCTCACATACACAATTCAAGTCATGACTTGAGTTGTGCAAATAAACATATCCATAATCTTCTCTAGGTCGGCTAAGCCTAGAGCATAATTTTATGTATCAAGTGGAGTTTCAATTCCTTTCTGACTCTAGTAGTATCAATACAATTGAGTGGTCAATATTTAAGGACAACACTTCTTCATTGCACGCACATGGAGCCCTAGGGTTTTTTTTTTTTTTCTCATTTCTGCTGCTTCTCTCGCCCACTTTGGCTGATGCATGCCATTTTGGATTTTTTTTTTATTGTTCCACCTTCTTTGGTGGTTTTTATTTGTGGTTTTGGTTTTGGTTTGTTTTCTTCCTGTGATTTTGGTGGACGCTATCCTGATTCATTTGGATTTTGGTGTAAGTTTTTTCCATTTTCCTGTCTCATTCATCTGGGTTTGGATTACTTTTTTGTTTTTTTGTTCTACCTTCTTTGGTCGTTTTTATTTGTGGTTTTGGTTTGTTTTCTTCCTGTGATTTTGGTTGACGCTGTCTTGATTCATTTGGGTTTTGGTGCAGGTTTTTTCGATTCATCTAGGTTTTGGTGGAGGCTTATTTCATTTTCCTGGTTTGCCTTTATGTTGGTTTATCTGGTGATTTTAGTTTGAAGTTTGAGTTTTTGTGTGGTTTTGGAGGAGTGCATATTCTATGTTATTTTCCTTGGTGATTTTAATGCTATTTTCGTTGTTTTTGGTAGTTTGCTTTTGTGGCTGGTCTGTTTTTTTCAATATTTATAGAAATCTGTTACAATTTCCCTGTGGTTGATATGTAGAATTTTTGAAAAATTTTTATATAATGCTTTATTTTTCTTCTTGATTGATTCTTTTGTTTAGAAAGAAGTTTGTGTGTAGATGGTTGCATGCTTTTTTTAGTTCATCTTGATTTTTTTCCATTTATTGGTTTCATGATTCGTGTTGTCCACGGCGCTGATTTGTCCTACCACCTTCATCAATTGTACCCATTTTGCTGCAGATGCGTTTAATGAATTCGTGATTTTTCTAATTTGATTATTGTAATGACTGAGAAAATCCCAGACCTTAAATAATACAATTTATGTATTTAAGCCAAGAATTTTCTTAGATAAATATTATGTGACTGAAGGATTTATGGAATTAATATATGTATTCCTAAATTCTGTAGCAGATTTCATGTTAAGTTCATATTTTTGATCAAGTAAATTCGATCGATAAATTATTGCCGTACTTTAAGGTGGAATAATTTTCAGTACAAGTATAGTTTGAGAATCTTAATTTCAAGAATCTCTAAACACAACATGATGTTAGCAGCGTAAAAAAAAACGCACTGACATTTTTAAAGAAGAGAAAATCCTTAATTGCCAGACAGCTAGGTTAAAGTCACAAGATAGATACTTATAGTAGAAGGGTACAATGTGAGCTCAGGAGTTGACACCGTCAGAAACAATGTCATTCCCGGGATATAATGCAGAAAAGTTAAATTTAGAATTTATTCAGTCTAGAATTAATTTCAAGACTTGAAACAGTTTAAGATATTACGCGAGTAAGAATTTAACGTGATATCAAAGCAGACGAGGATTTAACAGTTGAACTGTAAATAAGTAGTAGAAAAAAAAAACTGTCAGAAACAAGAATTTCCTGTCAGCTAAGTACCCTTTACAGTCAGTATGATTTTTACCTGATTCAAAGGTAACTTAAGAGAGTGGACTAAAGTACAAGGGGTAGGATTTATTTTTCTCTCTCTCCTTCTCCACTTTGGCCGGCCATGCATAGAAAAA